GCCTCAAAAGAATGGTCTGCTAGCTCAACTCAGGGGCTGATAGAGTCCTGACTCAGCAACAGCCTGCTCTGGGGAAGCTCCATCATGTGGATTATCCTACACTAGGGCAGGATCAAACTCAAAAGGGGTTTTGCTTCTACTCATTTTCCCTTAAAGAACTGGGAACCATTGGACATCCATATCTCTGCAGTCTTGGGAGATGTACCTTTTTAAGGTGTGGAGTCCAGAGCAGAGAACCAGGATTTTTTAAACATGGTTGTGTTATATCTAATGAGGCCATTAACTCAGAGCAGTGGGTTAGAGGCTGAAAGGAGCCTTGCCATACAAGCCTGTCCCAGGTCATGCGTGACCTGCATCAGAGCGCATGGTGACCAAGCCTGGCCTTGCTCTTCCCTGTACAAGGTCCCAGTCCTCTGCAGGACCCAGAGCCTCAGCTAGAAGAGGCATGAACATGCTATGCTAAATCATATCTCCCTAGTTTTAGGAGTATGCACATCAGATACCAGTAATTATTAGGCTGATTAGCTGTAGCTGATGTAGCAGGTTTAGTATCTTGAATAACTGCTTATATTTACACTATCCTTTACCTATTACACTATGTTAAAACACCAGCAAGTAAATATGAACGGCTGTCTTATGTTTCTTCCTAAACAGGCAGAAATCAGTGCCCTTATAACCGGGTCAGGATAAAAACTGAAATGTCTTCATAATTTAAACTAGTAAGAATATTATATTATACATAATCTGTTGTTTTACTTCAGTTTGTTTCGGTTCAGTTTGGTTTGACTTGATTTTCCTGAGGAAACATTAAAGATTTAGATGAAAGAAAGATAAATTGTTTTATTTCAATGTTTTTTTCCTTTAAGATTCATGGTATCATGATTAACTGCAGTGTGCAACATGGTGACAGATTAGAAAAAAATGTTCAAATAGCATTTACAGCTCTTTAATTGAACACCATTATGAAGTTAGCTTAAGTCCTTAGATGGTAACCTGGATTATTTCCTAATGATTGTTTTGCTGATGAGAAGTAATGATGGTTTTCATTTGTTATTCTTACCAGAATTGAAAAGCTTTTTTGTAAATGATGGTGTACCTGTAAACTGCAAGCATGGAGAGACAAAGAAACCCAAAGCTCTTTCTAAGTAGAAAACAAACAAAAAAACTCCCAACTCTCTTTGTAAGTAAAAATCAAACCAAAGAACAGTTTTTGAGCCTTAAAAACTAAAACTAATCTAATCATGTCAAAGGAACTGTAAATGCGTGCTGCATTTCAGTCAATATGACTGATTACCTGTCACTTACTCAGCTCTGATTTCTTCCCACTGGGCTTTGAAACCATCTTTGTTTCAGAAACTCAGAGGCAGTGTGTATGAATTGTTAGCTCACCTCTGCCTTGGTTTTCTGAATGCTTTTGGGGCTAAGTAATTAGCCCTGTCAGTTATTTCAGCCTAAAAGCTTCAACAGCATCATTGCTCATTTATTTTTATCATCCTCTTTGATGCTTCTCAACATGAAACAAAAGATCTTGACCAGGGAATATTCATTACTACCAGCTTTCCTATATGTAAAAATATTCTGACTAGCATGCAATATATGTGACTAAAATCAGCAAAAGGAGAGCTAGTTGCAGAGTCCAGTTTTGTACTGCAGTTTGAGGAAAGTAAGGGCTTGCTCCTTTGGTACCTTTCATATCACTCATCTCTTACCAAAAAAAAAGGACCAAACTTAGAAAATGCATTTAAAAGAGATCTATACAAGTAGAAGAAAGATTTTTGTTGGCAGAGAAGTCACATGAGACAATCAACAAAATTTGACAGAACTGTTTGAGCAGCATAACCTGCTGCTGTATAAGTTTGTCAGAGCTGCTTGTTCCATCATTCCTGGAAGCTGAAGAGAACAAGGTTTTCAGGACCTTTGGGAGTAAAAAGCTATTACTCAGGCTGTTTCAATATACCTCTATAGCAAATGGAGATAGTAGCATATACAGGTAAAATGGACAATAAAAACTGAATAATGCTAAACTGTCACAGCATGTCCACAGCAAGAAGTAATGTCTTCTGGAAACAGAAAAATAAAAATCTACAAAACTGTCTTTCTGTCTGATTTCACGTACCACATGTATTGATCATTTCAAATGTCCTCTGTAGAGAGACCAAGCCTGCCTGAGTTCAATAAGTGTTTGTACAGTGCTCTCAGGCACATGGTGTGATCTTTGGTGAGTCCTACACAGGGCCAGGAGTTTCACTTGATGATCCCGATGGGTGTCTTCCAACTCAGCGTATTCTGTGATCCTACTATTTGGGGAAGGGAAGCGTGGGAAGGAGGTTTTCATGCTATATATTATATTCTCTTGAAGTTTTTCCCTGAGCTGGCAGCACTATACATTATTTGTTTTCATTTATTTTATTCTGAAAGTATGTTGTCACAGTATCTCCATTAGCAGCTTCCGTATGTTGTCAATATTACAGGAGGACAATGGCAGTGTAATTACATACTACATCTTCAGAAATCTGACTCTTGCAGAGTTGAAGACTACTTCAGAGTTTCAAATTAATCTTAATGACCTCATTTTATTGCTGCTGAATTTCTGGAAATTATGAAATGCCAAATGCCACTGAAAATAACTGATAAAAGCCTAAACAATCTGAAATGAATAATGTAGTCTTTCCTTGATTTCATCTAAGTCCCACACACTTTATAACCAGTTACAATATTTTATAGAGAAATGTTTGTTTTAATGAATCTGAGGGCTTTTCAAATAGCTAAGAATAGATCAATTAGATAAAGATGGAAAAATCATATGCTCCTGCATTTCACATTCACCAAAACTGTGGCTGTATACAGCAAATGTAAGCAATGATTTTCGTCGTCCAATATAAATGGCTGCAAAAGACATGGTCATCAGGGCTAGAATTACGTTGAGAAAAATATAAGATTCAAGTGTAGGCAAGTAGGGTCTCTTTTTCTTCTACCTTTTCTGCATAACTGGTAGAGCAGAGACCCAATAATACGCGTATTTGTATTTGTAAGTGACAATAAATAATAGGAGAATTTGTGATTGCCTCATGAATACCATGTTAAAATTTTATTCTTTACTGAATGTTTTTTATTGAAGTACAACTAAGAGATAACTGAGACTATCTTGTCATGATACTATTTTGCATCACAGTACTCCTTTCCTGCTGTTAAAACAACACTAAGAAGTAGAGTTTCTTTTAGTACATTCCCTCGCCAAAAGAGGGACAAAAGGTTTCTTTAGTATATTCCCTTGGAAAAAAAGTAGTGAAATGATAATTGCACAATCTTTAGCAGCTCTGTTAATGGGTAATACAAAGCTATACATGGCAATGTCCAAATGTGAATGCTGACACAAGCCACCTTTACTTACACGGATTCTCTCTAACACACAAAGCAAATTTTGCCTTCTGGTATACTTTGCATACTAATGGGCAGAGGGAGGAAGCAGACAAAAGAGATTTTTTCAACAGACAATTATATAGGTACCACAACACAAACTACTAGCTCACAAAAGAGTAGGTTTGCCCCTAATCCAGCAGTGCAAATGTCCTTTTTTTCCTCACCTGGAAATATTGTAAAGCTGAAAAAGCTGACACAGTGTGCATTGTAAGGAGATGACAGGCAACAGCGTCTACTGTTTAATTCAGTGACTGGATGTGAAAGTCATCTATCCTGCTGATACATAATATACAACTTCTCAGAGCCTCATTTTGTGATGTGTGACTGAACCACTGCCGGGCAGAAATCTCTCAGACATCCCCCTAATATGCCTCCCACTAGTCCCAGCTGCGTGCCCTGCTATGCTGTTGAAAAAGAGGTGTAAATTTCCTCCTACATGTTCACGTGTAGAGGAACTGATCAGGCCAGTGCTGATGTTTTCTGACGGGGTTACTCTGTGAGAGCTGCGGACCATTGACCCAGGAAAACCAAATGATGGGACTAGGTTTGTTGAGAGCCAGGATGAAGTGAATCAAACATCCTGGGCTCCAAATCAGCTCCAAGAGTTGCTGGCAGCAAAGGATGCTGCATGAAGAAAGGTGAGCTGCCTGCTCACTGTAAATACTGGCCATGGTGGTGTTCACTGGCAGCTGTGCGGAGTATCAACTCCTGTGAGAGGTGCAGCTCAGCAGGGAAGACAGACGCTTTGGGAGCAGTGAAATAAGTCAGGGCACCATGTAATAAACCTGGACTGCTACTGCTGCTGTTGCTAAAGTCAAGGCTACCTCAAACTGCTTTGGACTTTTTCTATTATCTCTTTGAACTCTGATGTCTAGCGTTTTTCAATGTAGCTTTTTCCCTGAATGAAACCATTTTCACCTCACATATTGGCAGCAATGCATATTTTAAAAGTGCGTAATTTTGGAGGGGAGGGGGAGAGTTTTAAATTTTTTATTACTGCTAGTAGTAAATAATCTGAAAATAACAGCATTCAAAGCTAAAAATTAATGTTTAGCTATAAAATTTTAGTAAGAGCACCCTCTGGTGGTACTAGTATAAACAATACTCATTAAGTCTTCCCCCAAGGAGTTTAACATATATTTATAATACTGACTTCTAAAGAAATGGGTGGAAACCCTTTTTCCACTGAATTTTTCCTTTCAACTGCTATGAAATCCATAGATATATTTGCTCCAAAAAAAAAATCAGAAGGAGGAAAATGCCTACAAACATGTACTGTCTATAGTTTAATTCAAAATAGTCATCCACACATACAAAATTAAAGATAGAAATATAGATATATATCTGAAGATATAGATATGCTAAGATCTTTAAAGTTGCATTGGATAAAATCTAGAAAGAAGGGGAAATCAATGGGTAAAACACACGTATATTTTTCTAATCCTTTGTTGTTTTGATCTCCTAATTTTAATTGAATTATTTAAGTCTTTTTATTTTACCCAGGTTCCATGACTTTAATCAGAAATACTATGTTAATTATCAAGAAATCCCAAGAATGACTGTCTTCCACTTTATCACAGGTATCTTCCATTTAAAAGTACCTGAGTCCTCTCATGTTGGTTCTGCTATTGGACGGATCAGAGCTGTGGACCCTGATTTTGGGAAAAATGCTGAAATAGAGTACAATATAGTTCCAGGAGATGGAGGAAACTTGTTTGACATCACAACAGATGAGAACACCCAGGAAGGAGTCATTAAACTGAAAAAGGTATGTGGCACCAATGGGTGGATGTGCCTATGACTCAAATGAGAAACTAGCTAAGAGAATTAAACGATAAGCAACTTTACCTCATCAGTAACACAGAGTAGTTTACCTCTGTATTAGAATGTGTGATTGTGATCATTATCTTAAAAGGCATTGGAGTTTAGCCTTTCATTTCACATAGGTGTGACTTTTCATAAATAATGTTGTGGCAAAGAAGTAATACTTATCTCCGTCTAGAAAGTATAATTTCTCTTTTATGGGAAGTTTTCCACCTAAAATCATATGAAAAATGTTGCAGAGCATGGAATGAAAGAGCTATATTTTATGCTTGAGATAATATACTTCATTATGACTTATAAGCATTTTATTTTGAGAATTTTGAGTTCGTTATTTTAATAATGAGTCCATTGTACAGTAATGTGGTGAACACAATTTTTATTCAGGGTAAAGGAGTCCCAAATTGTTGCAAATTGCTATGTGCTGCTTCCAGTCTCATAATTGTGTCCCAAATAACTGGATATCAGATATTCATGCAGGGCAACACACTGCATCTCAGCTGTTGATGTTGCTTTAGTGTACTAGAATAAGTTCAAGATTACTGAATCTATGAATTTCAAAGATGGAAAAGATATGTGTCATTCAGAATTTAGTGACTAAAACACTCAGTAGGAGAGATACCAAACCAGGAGTGTCACATTCTAACCAGTGGTTGTTTTCTGAGCCCAGGCATACATATACACCAATGATCAACTTGTTCAGTAGAAAGAAATCTGAACCACAAGCTCATTTTGAAAGGCATAGTTATATTTTATAGACAATTCATGCTTGTAGGTGTAAATTTTGTAAAATGAACACGACTATGAGTTGAGCACTTCACAAGGGTCTGGGAATGAAAGAGTTCTGGACATGTGTATTAAAATAAGCTTTAGGAGAATCGAAGCTTTAGTTCCAATAAAATTTAGAATTTAGATACTTAAATTTCCCTGGTTCTGACCATGGATCTATATTTGCATTATATTAATTCTAATAATGGAAGTCCTGGATTCAGCCTCTTGACCTGGGAAATAGTAAATTATCCGTGGGTACATTAAAGGACAAGATGATGACTTACTCTTCTGCTGGTTTTAATGACATAAAATGAAAGCCACTATACCCACAGGAAGTAATTTGTCAGAGACAAAAACTCTTTGCCCTCTTCATACCCTCTCTTCTATTCAGACTAAAAGTTTGAGTGCACTGTTTCCTCCTAATGTGAATTTTTAGATTTTGCTTCATTTAAAAAAACATTCTGATCACTTTTTTCCCTTTATGCAAGCAACTCAAAAATAGATCCATTTGGAATTGTCAAACTGAGCAGCTGCATGCCCCTCCATATGCACTGCCAGTCAGAAATGGCAGTGAGTGGGAACCATTGCAAAATGAATATTTGGTCATTAAGAGCAGGTTTTTGATAGAATTTATTTCTCCCTGGATTAGTCCTAAACCTCAGCTATGCTGCTTGGTTTTATACATAATAGAATTTTTCCATACTTATGGTTAAGTATATATGTATTTGATAGTACAGACAAAGTATTCAAATTGGCAATGCAGGTTCCAACAACATGCATATATTATTTTTTTACTGACAAAGAGCATTCACATATGAATTTTCCGGATACAATTATTTTAGGACCGTTACAGGTAAAATGCTTGGCCACTTTTGAGACTGCTATATGGGTAATTACATAGTATCTAACTGAACCACTAACTTGAAAAAAATAAAATTAACACAACCAGTTCTGTATCCAGATACTTTAGAGACAGTCATTGTATTTTGCTGCATATATTTAGTCTTTTCAGTAACAAGATATAGTATAATCTGAAAATTTAGGGCACTTTTACAACAGCAGAACGTCAGTTGATGTTGCCTAACGTAATCTAATCTATCATTAGATCTCTGTCACTGAACAGGAGGGAAAAAAGTACAATCCTAATCCCTTCTTAATCACCATCATAGTGAGCCTAGGGACAGTTACAAAATGTGAAGATCAGGAAATACCAGCTTTGTTCTATGCAGGAGTAAGGAAGATAAACATAACACACAGGTCCTCCAGTAAGGAATGCCTTTATACTGACTCTACACATTGCCTTTCACAAAACTTTTCTCAGGGAAAAGATGCCTTTCACTAAACTTTAAATGATCCAAGTGTTTACAATATTTTGGAATCGTCCACTTAAGTTCCTTGTTGGATCCCAGGCTAAACAAGAGCAATCTAGATTCTCAAACATATTCTTCACTCAGTTGTCTTTTTGTATTCTCTTCACTTGTAGTAATGTAAATGTGTTTTCATGGGTTGCAGTTTTCAGATTTTCAGAAGTACTGGACATTCACAATTTTGTAGACCACTATTAAAATGCATGCTACCTGTACTGTACAGGCCTGCAACAGGACTATTCATTTGCCTGCAGAGAAGCAATTTTACATTGCATAATGCTCAGAACACTGATTTGACCTGTGGGATTATGCAATTACTTAAGTTAGGTATTCATATAAGTCCTCATTTAAATAAAATGAAAACTGGTGAATGAGTGTGACCAACACATTCAATTATTAATTCAAATATGAATTATCAATAATAAACAGACAAAGCTACTAATAAAAAATGCTTTAAAAACTGGTTTGTACTTTATTCTGTGTCGTAGCATATTCTGACATTGTAAATACTGCAGTTATTCAGTGCTGAGCCATTTCCAAACCATTTATAAAGTTTGATTTTATTTTCCCTGAAAAATTTTTTGCAGCCAGAAAATGTCAGTTACTGCATAGACGCTTTTTTGTTTTTTGTTATGCAAAAAAATGGAGAGATTTCTATATCAAAATTGAGAAAAATGAAGCCTTTCTGGACTACATTTATTTTTGGTGGAAAATATATTTGATGATAAAAAAATTGCACAGGTTAAACTGTTCTTTTCAGCACGCTAAATGTGTTGGCAGAGGCAAAAGGCCATTCTCTGCTTCTAGGATGCTAAATGGGCACAAAAAGCTACAGCTGGACAAGTTGCAGATCTTAAATCATCTGTTTTGGTTGCTCATTTATTTTTATGGTATGATCTAATATAAGTTTCACTACTACTACTGTTGTGTTAATTACATACATCAGGAATGAAATAGTTTTTCTTATATTCTGCTACATAAATGATCCAAATGCCATTTAGCTCCACTGTGTGGTTAGTACTGTAATAGTTTCCTCTCTAAAATGAAAAAATAAAGGAAAATAGCATCCCTAAAAAGAGGAGTAAATGCTTGGCTTTAGGATAGTGCTGTATACAGTTCTCTTTAAGAGTAAGAAATATTAATATATTAGGAACAGAATTATAATTTCATACCTTGTGTAGTGCAGTTTAATACAATGCTTATTACATTCGATATTTATGTAATATCTGCCATCCTATCTGAATGCTTCAGCAAACTACGGTGAGTGTAAGCTACCAGAAGCAAGGTGAGAGAAGAGATCATCTCCATCATCTTCATAACAGAGTATAGTGGCCTCAGTTGCGTTCAGTCCTAGGCAAGTTCCAGATTTTGAAATTTTTAATCACAGGCAAAACAGTAAAGGGAAATAGGAGGGTCCAAACTTCACTGAACAGTTGGCACTATATTTATGAAACTAAGGATGAGTTTATACAATAGGTCTATCGTGCACAGAAGCTTTTGAATTAGCTCAGCATGAGCTAATCAAGAAACTGAGTAGGGTTCAAGCACTGAACTTGCTCTACTTCAAGACATCACTTTACTAATTTGTGCAGTGTGTCATTAAAACACAGTTAAAAAAAATATATATATATTTTTAGGCTTCACCTGGTACGACACTGCTCCACTATACTGCGTGAACTTCTCCACATGGCTCAGTGGAAGCTCAGGGAACATCTGCATCTTACTTTTTTGTACCTTGTGCATCACTGTTAACTGGACAGGTGAAAAAACTGTAGCCATGAAATCAGAGCATGTCATAGTACTGCATGATGAGAAAGAGTAGCTTTAGTGATGATAAATCACAGAAACTGTGGGGAAGATGAACAGAACCAGTAGCTGCAGGGAAGTATCTGGAGTGTGTACTTCCTTGTACCTTCAGAAGCAACTTTTTAAGAAACTTTTAATTGCAGTCAGCATTGGTTGCTGGCTAAACTGAGTTGTCTTGCTCATGGGACAGTGCATGTATGTAGCACTGGGGCATTGTTAAAATGTAAGAGTAGTCTGATAGCACCTGTACAACACAACAGTGAGCATAAGGCAGACTCCCGGTGTCCTTCAGTGAGAACTGCATTAGAGCTACTACTTGCTTTACTACCAAAACTGTACTGATTGCTCATCCCTCACCACCTCTTCTTTAGCCAGAGACAGGGAATTCCCTCCACAGCTGTGCGCATAGGCACTGTCTGCCTGTAATCATAACTTATAAGTTTGTGTGAGTGGGAATTGTAGTTTTCCATTTTGAGGAGGAAGAGCAGGCAATAGTAAGTCCTTCAGTACAGGCAGAAAATGGTGAGCTGTGTGCAGACGCAACCACAAAGAGCACGGCACTCAAAGGAGAATGTCAGGAGGAGCGCGGAAGAGGAGATCTTCAGTCTCTGTAGACTGCAGATAGAGCTGTTGGGTTTGTATTTTCCTAGAGCAGGGAAAGGCACCTTTGGAAACAGGTGAGGTGCTTGAAAGCAGCAAACAAAACCCCTGACACTGGTCAGCCCTTCCCCTTCTCCAGATACAGAGCACATGTATTTTGCTCACTTCCAATCAAATCTTGAAATACTCACTTCAGATTTGATCTTTGTGAATCAGAACAAACTGATGGGATAGTTCTTTTCCCACCCTTGTCATGCTTGTCATCAGAATTCATTATATCTTTCACAAATTTTTTTCTTTTTTTTTTCTTTCAGTTCTTTAATTCTCTCTCTCTTTCTATCTATCTATCCAGCTATCTATCTATCTATCATCTATCTATCTATCTAACTGTCTATCTAATCTATCTATCTATCTATCCAGTAAACAATTTCAGATACAGATGCATCTATATAGCAGCATTTCTTAACTTCTGCCCTGAATGTGGAAATCAGCAACATTTAAAAATGTTTGTTTCTAACACAGAGCTAATTTTATGCTCTCCTAGTCATACCAAATAAGTCCATTTGTGGTACTTCTAGAGTTGCAAGGTAAGGTGATTTGTCATTATGTGTTATTTGATTTGTGGATTTGTAGAATGCCTATGCTGTGCACAGATGTGTATATGCTGATAGTGCTTTACTAGGCAATTTTAAGAGCAGCTTGTAACTGCAACATAGGAAAAGGTAAATGACAACAAGTTTGGGGGGTCAAATACATCTATTCTGTCACTGGTACTTAAAATATCAATTAGAAATACTCATCCGATTATTGAATAGTTCACTGTTAATAAGACTGCCTTAATATTAGCATGAATTCTCTTTACTGTGGAAAAAAACTTTTACAAAATAAAAACTTTATTCAAAATTACCTTTTTACATGTAATTACATTATTATAATATTATTATATTATACAATATATTATATATTATATTATATACTATATTATATACAGTATATTATATATATTATGTTATGTTATATTATATATAAAATTATTCCATAGAGGGAGTAAACATTTCAATAGGCTAATTTATAAAAACAATCTATGAAGTCATTCCATTAAAATCTGATTAATTCAAAGACATTTTAACAACCTTACAGGTTTGGGTTTTTTGGTAAGATTCAATCATTCTCCTATGTTTTTACCCTTACCAGAATTCCACATTTTAAATGGAAATGGTACTGAGACCTCTCAGACATTTATTATGTAACAGCAAAGCACATGTTTGCTTTTTCTGGGGTTTTGTTTGTTTGTTCGTTTTCTTTAATGCAGCCAAAATATTGTGTGAACAATATTTTCATTCATTTCCTTGACAGATTTTAGTGGTATCTACTGAAAAAAATAAATATAATAAACTGCTTTTTAACATATTTAAAAACAAAAATCTGAACAGTTTTGCCTGAGAGCCAGGAAGAAATTCAGTTCTTCTATTTTCAGGCAGACTCTGGACATATCAGACAAATGTTAAAATTTGAGACTGTCAATGCTATCTCTAAGGTTCAACTGTTCGAATTTGGGAAGACCAGAACTGATCAATAAATTGCAGCAGGGACTCCTCATAAACACAAGATATTAAAACCATATTCTTTTGTTGCATGATATCACAGAATCACAGAATTAACTAGGCTGGAAAAGACCTCTGAGACCATCCAGTCCAACCTTTGACCCAACACCACCTTGTCTACTAGACCATGGAACTAAGTGCCACGTCCAGTCTCTTCCTAAATACCTCCAGGGATGGTGACTCCATCACCTCCCTGGGCCGCCCATTCCAATGTTTGATCACTTTCTCTGTAAAGAATTTCTTCCTAATATCCAACCTAAACCTCCTCATGCAGAGCTTAAGATCATGCCCTCTTGTCTTACTGATAGCTGCCTGGGAGAAGAGACTGATGCCCACCTGGCTACAAGCTCCTTTCGGGTAGTTGTAGAGAGTGATGAGGTCTCCCTTGAGCCTCCTCTTCTCCAGGCTAAACAACCCCAGTTCCCTCAGCTTCTCCTTATAGGACTTGTGCTCGAGTCCCTTCACCAGCCTCATTGCCCTTCTTTGGACACTTTCCAGCACCTCAGTGTCCTTCCTGAACTGAGGGGCCCAGAACTGGACACAGTACTCCAGGTGTGGCCTCACCATTGCCGAGTATAGAAGAAGAATCACTTCCCTGGACCTGTTGGTCATACTGTTCCTGATCCAGGCCAGGGTGCCATTGGCCTTCTTGGCCACCTGGGCACACTGCTGGCTCATGTTCAGCTTCCTGTCAATCAGCACACCCAGGTCCTTTTCTGTCTGGCTGCTCTCCAGCCACTCTGTCCCCAGCCTGTAACGCTGCTTGGGGTTGTTGTGGCCAAAGTGCAGGACCCGGCACTTGGTCTGGTTAAACATCATACCATTGGATTCTACCCATCTCTCCAGCTTGCCCAGGTCCTTCTGCAGAGCCCTTCTACCCTCCAGTAGATTGACACTCCCCTCCAGCTTGGTATCATCTGCAAATTTGCTAATGGTACACTCAGTGTTGTACAAAATCTTTTTCTTTTTGAAATTAAGTCCTAGGTTTACTACTTGCAATATTTCTTATCTCTCCACACATTTCAGTTGCAGTTGAGGCTCACTTAGGCTAAAGGCTAAATTCTGCTATTTTGTGGGAATCTGTCACTGATTTCTTCTTCTGATGATGGCTCGTCATTTTCAGCCTGTCTCTTCATATTTTGACTGCCATCTGTGCTTTGCATTGGCAACATATTGCTTAACCTCTAACTAAGTCATCAGACTTATAGAAGGATAGAAAGAGAGGATAAGTAGCTCTGAGGTTACAGTGGGAAAACATTATCGTTTCTTGGGATCACACTGTGTCTTTTCAAAACTATACCTTAGTGTTGCCCCATAATGCTGGTTAGTAGAGAAGTAATGTAACCACTTTATTCGCTTCCTGGGTACCTGTGCAGTGAAATATGCTGGTCTGAGCATACCAATAGACAGAATTCCTTGAAATCTTACTGCTTTCTGTTCCCCTTACATCATGAAAAGTTGCAACTAGGCACTAGCCATGCACCATGATTTGGTATTCCTGACTTGAAGAGTAATTTGTTGAGAGACAACCTGCAAGGACTGCATGAATTATGGCTCTTTCCATTAATACATCTCTCTGCAAATATACTGATGCATTACAGGAGCCAGTCTGAACAGTTTTAACGCAATTTTGGGGATATGAAAGACACATACAAGGCATTACATGGTATTACTACCTACATGAGAGCTTAGATTTCTTGCTTTCCCTGTCTTCATCATTTATCTCTAGGTTAACTCCTCATACTTGGACTTTTTCCTCTCCAGATTAGTTCTTTAAACTAATACAGATTTCTCTTCTTATTATATTTTTTGAAAATCTGTGAACAATTTATATAAATATCTGTAGAAGAGTTGGGGGAGTTTTTGGGGAAGTTTTCTAGTGTTCAGCTAATGCAAGTCAAGGTAACTCAATTCATTTTAATGGAGATACTTCAATTTACACTAGTCAGTCATCTGGCCAATTATGTCCTTTTGTGACAAGGACAGAAAATGGCAGAATTTCAATCTATCCTGGCTGTGACAAATGACTGGAAACACTGGGTAAAAAAATAACAGGCATTGAAATATTTTTTTTCATACACATGAACGTGTTCTCTTTTCCAAAAAGCATATTCTTTCCTGTTAGAAAATTTCCAACTTAACAATTATAGGCAGAAACCACTAGGTGCCAGTGTTACCCAGACATCAGGAAAAGGCTTTGTCCGAAACATTAAAAACAACAAGAAAGCCAATTCAGCTAAATAAACCCTTTAAATGAAAATAAAGTTTCTGCATCTTTTCAAGTAAATAAGACTGTATTAAGGGTTTTGAGATGATTACTTTTCTAAAACTAAAGGCACTAAATTGATATGCATTGACAGAAATCTACATCAAAACAACCTGATTGCAGGGTACATTTCCATCAAAAACTCAGATAAGTACACAAAAGCTGTCATGTCATCTTCAAGACCTCATGATTACACCTACAGTATCATAAGGCAGAGTCAAAGTCCGCATTTTGCAAAGTACATGCAGCTCAAACATATGGTGTGAATAGCAGTTCACTGTTAAGATATTTTACAGGAAAAACTTTGTTCAGATCAAGTTAGAATTCACATTCCAAACCATATTTTAAGTTTGGTTTGACCCATTGTATATATCAGAGTTTTCATTTGAGCTCATCTCCATCACTGTCATGGTCTTCTGAAAGCTTTTCCTGCTTAAAAAAATAGAAGTGTTCTATTTAAGGAGCTGGATCAGCTAGAGACAGCTGATTGCCTGTGCATAGGACTTGTAAATGCAAATCTCTGACTAACCTGCATTCAGCTCATTTGCAAGAAATGAATCTCACTCATTTAACTTCAGACATCTACAGCGTAACTGTTTACATCCATGCCAGTCATCCTGATTTTTTTGGTGTGCAGAAGCAGTCATATCCTGGCTATGATTCACCTGGAGTATTTCAGAAACCACCTTATCGTGAGATGAACTGCAAAACAAACTTAGATGATTGGTTAGCTCAGGAGAGGAATTTTACACTAAAAGTATCTTCATTTTTGTCATACTAATACAACAAAAGTAATTTTGCAGTGTTTAATTCTTAGTCAAATCTCATGTTTTGCTTTTGTTCTTCCTGCAGCCATTAGACTTCGAAACGAAAAAGGCATACACCTTTAAAGTCGAGGCCTCCAATCTCCATCTTGACCATCGATTTCACTCAGTGGGTCCATTCAAAGATACTGCCACTGTGAAGATAAATGTGTTGGACATGGATGAACCTCCAGTGTTCAGCAAACCTGTCTACACGATGGAGGTCTATGAGGACACACCTGTGGGGACCATCATAGGTGCAGTGACAGCACAAGACCTTGATGCTGGTAGCAGCTCAGTTAGGTAAGAAAGCTTTTCCTCCTTCAATAACTTTCTGACAACCCAAAGTGCTACTCACAGTGAGATGTGGTGATAAAAAGAGCTTAGTAAGAATATATGAAATATACCAAGTCTGTCACTGTAGGAGATAACTGATACTCTAAAAAATATTGGAAAGACATGCTCATTTGGGTGAATTATCTGGAAATATACATTAAGTACTGACAGCTTCTTATCATACTGATCATCGAAGTTACCATACACTGACATGACTTCAGAGATAGTGTGTTCAGACTAAGAAAGGAAAAGCAGAGTGTCTATGTGTCATGACCCACCTGTAGGAGTGTGATGTTCATTATAAGTTGTCATCAGGCTCACACTGGGCACATGTCAGGAAACTCATGGTTTTTTGTATAGTCAACTTAACTCTGGCGACCAGCCCACTGTTTTAGACTCACAGAGTGTTGGCTAACAAGCACTTAAATTCTTACAATACATTTCCACAAGAACGGGGGCTAACAAGCCCTTAATTTTGTGCAGTACACTTCAGTAAGTTCTCAACTCCCACAACAAAAGGTTTCTGCCTCAAAAGGTGCTGGCTCACAAGCCACAACACACCTCCACAATCTCCCTGTTCCGACAACGAAGTTCAGAATGGAGTATGGAGTAGAATATTATAGCCGTACTTTGCCCTGGCAAAGCAATGGAAGAAAACAAGACAGAAAAGGGTGAGAGAACAAAGAATATGACTAGTCATTATATCCCACATTGGTTGCGTATGTTGATCCAGAGCCCAGGTCAAAAATGAGAGACAAAGAGACAAAGAGGAAAAAGAGAGCGAGGGGACCCAATCCATGTCCTTTTATGGTTAACCTGATGCATGCCTCTCATGTAAAGAAGATTTTTCAGCTGTTTTGTTTGCGCGTGTGCAGGCAACCCTTCTCCAGGAAGTGAGTTGGGGCAGGACTAAGCACAAGTCTCAAAGTAGAGCAGGAAGATGGTTCAGCACAGAGTTGCCCCACCTCTGCAGGACCCTTTCCTCCGATCACACCTTTCCTGTAGCAATGCTCAAAGAGTTTGAGACAAAACACACTTAGGTCTGGGTCCTCCACAAAAGTGTCTCTGAAGTACAGTAGTGGAAAAGGAGACCGTATGTGCTATACGTGTGTGCTAAAAGGAGACCTCAGTGGGTGACAGTAAGCACTGCCCCTTTCACAAGAACCACTTACTCTCTACATCTGGCAAAGAACAAATACTCTGATAAATAATTGTCATATGTGTCTTGGCTGAGGCTGTGGGAATGTAATTGCTTACCAACATGGCTGTGTTCAGCATAAGTAAACCCTGCCTGGAAAACCTCTCATTTACTGGTATAACTTATTTTTGTGAAATAAAAGGGTGAGGGGAGCTGTTATACAAATGTAATATATTGATTTTGCTGACCTATTTGCAGACACATTAGAAAGATTAAAGTGAACCAGAGTCACGTACCAATAAGGAAGCTCCTGTGTAAGATGTAGGCAGTCATTACACATACTTCCAGTACCAATTCATGCTGGGCCTACCTGACTTCAGGAAACACTTTTATCCCTAGATAGTCATGAGGTATATTGCAGACATAATGCATGCCATCAATCTTTAAATATTAATATTTATCAAATGCGACTATGATAGAACAGGAAAATGCCACTAGTGTCTACCAGGTGCCTACATATTCATGTATATTTAATTACAAATTGAATTTGGACTTTTTTAATCCATGTTTATTAATTATGTGTATTTTGGCTCACCACTTATGTTCTCAAAATATAAAATAAATATGCTAGTTGTAATCATATGTAAAAATTTAACATATAACACTGACTGTTTAACTCCTGCTTTGTCAATTCACTGTGAATTTTTCCTTAAAACTGTTATTAATTTTGTTTGTTTCACTTTTTTTTTATAATAGCATCTTCTATTTTTTTAATATAGAAACTTATTTGTTCATGAATCTGTGACACATTGCTTCCCTGAAAAAGGATCAAAACCTTCACTAACAAAGACTGAAGTGGAAACCTTTTTCCCTGGTGGTAGCCTATGAAAATAGCCCCAGTGAAGTCAATATTCTGTTGAAAACCATACTGTCTTGCAACAAGATAGCAAGCCTTTAATCATTTAGTTGAGCAGTTTTTCATATGACAGCAGAATCATTTGGATGTATAACCACTCCTCAGTGAGGAGTGTTTTTATTTCACAAACCCTCCTAGGAGTCTCAAGTGCTTTTTACTGATTCTACATATCCAACTACACAAGAAAAATAATAGTCTCACGATGATTTATCCATATACTGTGCTCCCTGGAATATTAAGGGATCCATTTTAAAGTGTCCATGTCTACCTTTTTTTAATCCTGAAATCTCTACTTCAGTGTGCAAATGTTCGTCTACAGTTAAAAGATCAGGAATATTATAAAATACCTCTACATTTTTTGGCTCAGTGCTCTACTTGCTGATGCCTTACACTGAGAAACTACAGAAGTGCTCCCAGGGTCACCTTTATGAACCAATTAGGCTGGTTCATGCCCACAGAAAAACATGAACTAAGTCCCAGTATTACCAGTTTCTCAGACAAATGGGTTCCTACCCAGAAGTAAGCCATATATTGAATTTGGTGGACTTTGTAGGGAGAGATGTTGCTTTAAGGAGAGGAATGTGTTCCAGTAAGCTAGTTGACATGCTGAGAAGATTAAATTGGAAACCTCTACATGCAGCTCTCTTCTGACCTTGTAAGACCTCTTATTTCTATGAATTTTCGTGTTTCAATCCTGAAGTCTTCCTTGGTTTTTTTGATTCATATATTCATAACCATATGATCATAATAATTCACATGATCATAATGATTTGTAATAATATATGTGATTCTCTGTATGCAGCTTGATCTACAGCTCTTTGAAATTAATGATAAGATTCTTATTAACTTACTGGAACTCTGACAGTGCTCTGTGTTCTGGGAAACCCTACTTGTATCTAAACATAGACTAGTCCAAACAGAACAAGAAATTATATGCAGTTGTTAGTTACTGATGTATTAGTATTCAATATTCTATAAGTTTTATATCCTCTAAATGAAAAAAAAGGAAAAAAGTACATGACCATAGGTTAGAAGAATGCAAATTAATTTGAAAGAATTGCATGTGATTGCAAGTTCTTAATGTACCTTAACCAATTACACTTTGTCAGCTGTTTAAAATATAGATCATCTCATAGATGTAAAGAATAGCTCCATCGGTTTCATCCTATTTCAAAGGAGTCCAAGCAACTTCTGAGTAAATATTCTCTCTAAACAAATGTGGAAAAGCAGGTCATGTTCTTTGAAGCCACAGTCCATACAAATTACTGTGATAAAATCTGTACTGTATGCAACAGAATGCAAAATTCCAGAGAACGAGAGAGTTTAGAACAGTTCACATGAAAGGAAATGATGTTAGTTCCAGTAACTAAATCCATGTTAATCAGAAATAAACTTTAGGTCTGTTATGCTAGATGCATCAGGAAGGGGGAGGTAACAGCTAAGAATGAAGACTAGATTCAGTTGTAAGAAAAAGAAAAATATTTTACTGAAAGACATTGAAAATGGCAAGGGTTATATTATTTTTTCTCTTTTCTCCTGTTACTGGTATCAAGTTTTTGGACAAGTCAGGAATTTTAAAAGGCTTGTTTTGTAGGATGATATTTGCTAGAGATGTTGAAGTGAAAGGGCACAAAGCGCACATTCAGTAATGAACAGGAAATTAAACACAAGGAGAAAAGGGGTCACAGGTATTCAACACCTGCAAGGGTGACTGGCTTTGAAGCTTTTTTGGAACATTACCCCAGTGCACCTAATTTTCAGACTGTGTTAAATCTGGAGTTTGTATGTCTCGGAAGATCTATTCCCATTTTATCCATAGTGCTTCAAGAAATGTTCAGCATACAAGTTAAGGTGAAGCTCTACGTACTTTGTGGCCATTAAAAATCCCTGATTTTTAAAAGCACTGATCTCATATTCTTCTCAGACTTCCCTAGTTAAAACAGTTCAAAGATGTCTATGAGGAAAAAAAAAGCAGCTGTCTTGTAGTGTGTTATAATGTATGTAATTTGTAAATATGCAAGTTTTTAGCAAAGATCCTTGTAGTTCTGGTAGAAGGGGTTTTAAGACTTCCTAAAAATCACTGTTATATGTGTCCATACAGCATGAATGCTATAGACAGAGTTGTCAAAATAACAAGAAATTGCAAATGGGGGCCAACACTGAGTTACTCGCAGTACTTCCTAGAATAGTGAGCTCTGCCTAATAGTGTGTGAGAAGTTCAACTTTGCTCTGAAACCTCTGAAGCTGTCAGATATCTATGGAAATGATCTTCGGGCACAAAATATGAAAGAATTATTGTTCCTGATGTGAATCCCATATATGACTCCAATTACAATGAGTTCCATGTTCTGTGCCACAACACTACCCTTCAGATCTCTGCTTGACTCGGGAGTTTTGCCTTATGAACCGAAAGAACCAATCAAAGCAAGAAAGCTGTGGGGACTATGTATTTTCTTGACCAAGTCCAGGGTCATGAAACAGCGATATAAAAGGCCATATGCACTAGTCAATCCTGCCCTCAGTATCTTGGGGATAAGACTCTATTCCCAGCATGTGCATCCACAGGAAAAGCCTTATTTATTTTCTAAACTAGTTCACAACCTTATCTTAATGTACAAGCACAAAAAAGATGAATTACAGTTAAATACGTAAGAGTTTGAACTTTCAATCCCATAATTATTCTGACATTTTTTGTGCATATACTTTTTCAATTTGCTTTTTCTTCAAAAAAGAAAAATTCTATCCTGTGGTATCACAATCTATTTTATAGTTGTATACATACATAGAAAGTCTGGGACATCTAGTTCCAGCATCTCTTCATTTAATAACAGATTAAGCGATAACTATTTTTCTGTCTATGGTATTATGCCGAAGGAGAACAAGGTGCTTTGCCAGTTGGTTTCATGTAGATAA